TCTATAAAAATTCTTACTAGTTTTGCACTAGTCGATTTAAAAGAAACTGTACTTTTATGTCCAATGTGCCATTCAGGATTTTTTTGACATATTTAAAACAATATTAAAACACTGAAACCATAAATTAACCAGGTTTTCAATTTCTCTGCCTAGAAAGAAAAACAAACTTTTTATGTCACTTAGTTTCGGACTGAAAGAGACATATCTTAACTAATATTCTGAAACAAATCTTGCATTTGAATGGAGTTGAGCAGGAATCGTAAATGGAAAAATCTATGGCAAGTCCCATTTGCCTTTGGTTGCCATGGTTACTGCCGACTGTAAAAATGCACTTTAGACCCCCCGGGTGCAACTTTCGACTCTGAGCATAAATTCTTGAAAATTTAAATAGGGTCAATCTCCCAGTAAGTGCTGCTGGGACTTATGGAACTCCCATTACTAAATGCGTGTGTAAATCAACAGCAAATACCATCGCTTTCATCTAGTATATCACTATCTTTTGTAACAAAGATTTCTTTCTTGTCCCCGGGGATATTTAAGTGTTGCAACACCGAGGTTGCATAGCAATTGTAGAAACCATAAACTATGCTTTAAAATTGTGTTTCAACATGCTGACCATTGAAGTAAAATAAAGTTGTATATTTTTGTAAGATAAATACTTGGAGAACTAATTTTAAGATTATTATTTTAGCATCAAAGTATATAAAAATTAGACAACTGGGTACTATTCGGTTTCGAGGGCCGTAAAAAATCGCCAAACTATGTTGATGCCAATGCTGTCAAAAATAATTGCGGCAACCCTAATAATTGCGGCAAGAAAGGAAGTATAATAGTAAATAACTAAGATTGATGTTTTAATTTCGATGAAAGGTTAATTTCACATAATACTTTTTTATTATTATAATTTATATGAAAAAGGCTAAACATGACTGAATGGAAGCATAAGAGTAAATAACTATTTCAGATCATTATTATAATTTACATAAAAATTGCTAAGCATCGCTATTTCGCTACCGACTTATCGCTAAAGCATAATTTCATCTCGTTGGTTGTTCAAACATAATTTTCTATAATAATGATGCCTTTTCTTTGAAAATATTCTCGGTAAAGTCAGAATCGCTCACTTATTTATTTGCCGCTTTTTACAAGGGTAAAAACAATTGAATTTTAAATGAAAATAATTTAATTTAAGTGAAAATAGGTCAATGTGTACATAAATAAAGTCAAGGGCGTGCGCAGTGCCATTTTTGTGCAATTCTGTGATTTTTTTTTTAAAGTGAAAATAAGTCGATGTGCACATGGATACCGAGTATGTGCAATTCTTAAAAATGCGTCAAGCAGTGGGTGATTCTGCACTTTACCCAAAATTCTATTGCCGACTTTTCGTCGTGGGCAATTCCCAAATTGTTAAATCCATAGGATATTAAAAAAGGATTTAAAATCAAAAAAGGATTTAAAAATTAAACTAGTATTTTAATGGCGTCTTAAGAAATATAGAACTATATAAAACTTACGCAATCTGAAGTCAGCGCGTACGCTAGATTTGGCGCGCTGTATAAAATGGGCGCGTTTTCTAGATTTGGCACTTTTGCGCATACATTTTCGCTGCAATTTTTTTCGTTCCTCAAAACGGAATAGTACCGAAAACTGTTATATAACTGAGTTTCGGTATGGCTTTTCTCGATACGACATGGCGTGATAATCTCCTAATTTTTTAACATTACAGATTAATTGTCAATATACATTTGATTAAAGTAAAACCCAGTATCTTAATTCCTAATCAAAATGTTGATAATATCCAACAGGAAAAAAAAATAATAATAAATACATAAATTGCCAAAAAAAGAAGCAAAATCTACAAGGGATCAGATTTTCAAGGTCTCCTTAAAATGTTTTTTACTTTCTCGCTGTGCTCGCAGTCTGCAAGTTTGCATTTGTACTTACTCCTGCTAACCCATTTCTTTTTGTCTTTTTAGCTTTATTATTAAGCATCATTATCATCGATACAATTCAATAAAAAATTGCAAAAAATTTAAAAGCAGCATAGCAGTATATGTTTAGAATTCTCGATGCAGTGTTAAGTGTTGGCATGCATCTTTATTATTTTTTCAGTCTTTTCTCAGTTTATCGTATCAATGTACAGTTTATATACTGCGCATATTTCAAATTTCTGATAGACAGCCTCGCGCAATGGAGATAACATTTTTTATTCCTTACAGTTTTACCACTGGTCACTACCAAATCGTTGAGTTTGTTAATCAGAAATCCATAAAGTTTTAATAAAATATGAAATTCGGGATTCAAAATCTGATCTTCCAGATGCACATGTTCGGGTGGAGGACTATGTTATTCAAAATTAGATGGCCTTAGGCAACGCCGTTTGTTTTCACAGTGCGAAGAACATACATACGTATAGATTAGAAGAGAAACACGCTAATGTGACAATCAAAATCGTAAAAAGAACCTTGTATTTAGCGTAAGTATATTGAAACACTCAATCGATTTCGAGGGCAGCTAAAGGTTCCTCCTCATCAGGAGAAAGAAATACCTAGAAAGAAGAAAACTAAAGGGGAAGGAGTGTCAGAAACACGTGGTCCTATCAGCACTGCATGTGGTTATTATTTTAATCAGAGTACACTGGCCGCCTACTTTTACTGAGCCAGGCTATCTGATAACATGTAAACAAAGGACAAAGAATTAGCGAAGTTTAAAAAAGGGAGTGAGGGGCAACTGCACCTTCCCGCTCAAAATCTGAACTTCGATAATCCTTTGTCATTGTTTACATGTTTGATCAGATAGCCTGGCTCAGTTAAAAGTAGGCGGCAGTGTAACTCTGATTAAAAATCCGGTTATAAACACGTTGCAGTGCTGATAAGGACCAGTGTTTCTGAGACTCCTTCCCCTTTAGTTTTCTTCTTTCTAGGTATTTCTTTCTCCTGATGAGGAGGGACCGTTAGCTGCCCTCGAAATCGATTGAGTGTTTCAATATACTTACGCTAAATACAAGGTTGTTTTTACGATTTTGAGACATACATATTTCATTATTTAAAATCTTTAAAGATAAAACAGGGGGACAATACTTTGATGGCAAAAATTTGAAAAAATATTTGCCATTTATGATGCATAACGCAATAGCCCGTTTGGGTTAATGAATAGAAAAGAAACAAAATAAATCTAGAATTTAAGGCAAATTTGAATACATTTGTGAGCACAAATTCTCCTTACACATTTAATTTGAAACTTTAAGAAAAAGGCATTAAAGAAACATGCGGAAATGTTAGTTTGCTTTATTGAGATTACGGCAAAGCACACTAAGGCTATCTGCGTAAGGGGAGGTATGCCTTCATGGATGAGTTTCTAAGGTTCGTATACACGTTACACATGAGAGAAACTACAGTTTAGTTTGGAAAATTGTATTTAGAGCTTAATAAATCTTTTAGTAAAATAAAATAAGGAAATTGCTAATTTCAGTATGCATTAAAGTTTTATTAAAATAGATTTATTTTTTTTATTACTTATAATAATTTTAATGAATATGGCTAATTAAGCTAGGTTAAAAATTTTGTTTATTACGTTTTAAACTATGTTCCAAACTTCTGGCTACGGACAATATTTTCCTAAATAGTGAATCAAAGTTTAAACCTTCGCATCACAGCATTAATTAATTAATTAATCACAGCATTAATGCAGGATTTTACGGAAGGAGCTCTGTGAATTTGAATGAAATGTAAGTTTTTCGCAATTTAAAATAAAATTTACGATTAGTAAAATGTAAATGATACTTTACTAAATAAAATAAAAAAAACTCAATACATTTACCGATGAAATTCACAAAAATAGTCAAAACTAATTTTCTGAATTTGGTTATTTTCATAAACATTTTTATTACTCACATAATACAAGAGATGTTAAAATAAATTTAACAACCAACTGCAAAACAATGTTGTCGTTTAAATTTTAAAATTTAAAAAATTGCAGTTCCGAGTATTAGCTAAAACAGCATTCCCCATTAATTTTGCAGTTGGCTCTCGAAAATAAATATTTAGCTATCACAGCGACTTTTAAATTTTGCCGGTCACAATATATATATTTGTTTTTATTCATTTATTTAAACACAGGTATAGATAGCAAGAGCATGTCTCAATATTTTCGTAAAACTCTGCATTTTTCTACCGTTATTAAACTTCGTATTCTCTAACTTGTATATTAAGGAAATGTATTGTACGTTTAGGAAAAAAAAAAAAAATCTGAAATGTTTCAGATTTTAAATTACGTCCAAAGGGGCGTTTTTTAACATTTTGTGTGTTACCTTTCTTTATTAAATATCATGTTCCTCGCACTTAAACCATAAGATCCAGTGCAACAGCAATATCGCAAAATAGTTTTAAAACGAGCATAACTTTAGAATTTCCGATACAGAGACTCACGCGCTGGAGATAAAAATGTTTTTTCTGCACAACGTTGCCATTGCTCGCTTTAAAATCCTTGAGTTTGTTAATCAAAAATTCGTCAAAGTTTTAAAAAATAGGAAATCGATCATAAAACAAATTTCAAATTTCAAATTTGGTCTTCCACATGCTCATATTCGTTGGAGAATTACGTTATTCAAAATTCGATGACTCTGTACCGTTATTTTATGACAATGTGAGAAATATACATACATTTATGCAGATTTTTCATTATTTAATTTCTTCAAATATAATGCAGGACTCTAACATTTTGTGGCAACAGTTTGAAAAGTGAACCGACGTTTATGAGTCCGACGCAAAATCGCAAAACGAAAACAATAGTCCTTCAGGGACAAATCCCTTTGGACTAAAAAAAAAAAAAAAAAAAAAAAGAGGATAAATTTTTGTTAAATTTTAATTTGTTTGACACGTATTTTAAATTAAATATTTGGCGCTAACTTTAACGTTTATTTTTTATTTTAAATTTCGTTGTCTAAGCCTATTCCTCATAATGCATACACTTAAATTATCACAGATCCCGTAGTTACCTACAGTGGACCTCTAGTTTCCATCCATATTCAATGGCGCTGGCAGCAATCAGGGGATTCTCAGCACGGCAGGACAGATGTTTCCCGTTATCGTCACTAGATGGCGTCATGGTAATGATACTTGTCGTAACATTGCCGTCGACGGAGATGTTATCTTTAAGAGCCTTCAACTTTGATGTCCCTTTCCACCAGGTGATGATGGCTGGCGGTCTCGAACCTGTCGCTCGACAGACGAGTTCCACCGTCTTGTGAGCAGATAAAGGCTGTCTGTCACCCTCGATCATCACATCTAATGGGCGAACTGCGAATGAGAACACAAGAATAGCAATTAAAAATCTGTGAGGGGGTAAACGTATACATTCATGGAAAAGCCTTATCGGAAACCTTATTTATTTACGTTTATTACAAAGATAACAGACTTTCAAACCATGAAAATCACATGGTGGTACCCTTAGGGACTGGACTTTAATCTGTTTGAGATTTTCTTCGAAGTCTGAAATGTAAAAGCTCACGCGCATAGTCAGAATGTGTTGCTTTTTAGCAACCCTTAGCACAGGATAAGAGCAAGCTTACATTACATAGAGTGATTTATCAAAAAAAGGCAGAACACTACTATGTGAAAGTTTGATTATGAAATACATTTTATTACGTGGAGAAGTTAATTTTATTGTTTTAATTAATAAAATCAAATCAACAGGTACGTTTTGAGCACTAGTAACCTGCATGTATGACTCTACATATCCACACATGATTTTGATTTAAAACACAGTAATTTTCAACACAGATTTAAAACACAGATTTAAACACAAAAACACAGATTTAAACACAGATTCAAAACACAGTAATTTTAAAGAAACATGCGGAAATGTTAGTTTGCTTTACTGAGATTACGGCAAAGCACACTAAGGCTATCTGCGTAAGGGGAGGTATGCCTTCGTGGAGGACTTTCTAAGGTTTATATACACGTTACACATGGTAGAATACATTTAGAGCTTAATAAATCTTTCAGTAAAATAAAATAAGGAAATTGCTAATTTCAGTATGCATTAAAGTTTTATTAAAATACATTTATTTTTTATTATTTATAACAATTTTTAATGAATATGGCTAATTAAGCTAGACTCAAAATTTTGTTTATTAGGTTTGAAATAATGTTTTAGTTAAGCTTCAGTAGAAAAGTCAATCAAGTGAACATACAATTAATCTTCTGACTACTCTAAACACACGATTCACACTCACCAGGAATTTCCTCTTTATAATTATTGTTACTGTCAAAAGCCGCCTGTCTTGTACCTTCAAGCTTCGAATCAATCCTTTTATCCAATCCTTTTGAAAAGGTGCTTGAAGTAGCTTTTTGAAAATTCTGAAAACTCTTGAACTTAATATACAGTCTTCTCATTTAGTCAAATTTTGTGTGATAAGACTGAAAATACTTTTAAAATAAATTCTTCGGTTAATCCTTCAACATTAAGAATCAGCGCAAATTAAAAAAAAAAAAAAAATACGCTGATTCTTAATGGTGGGCTTTGTTTTTAATCTGAATATGTTTTTGTATGCAAATACACGCGTGAATTTTTTTCATTTACCGAAAATTTTGAAATGCAGTTTGACGCGAACAAGATTTATTAAACTCAGCTCCGATTAAGATTCTCACTCTTACAACCAGAACTTTGCAATCGCTGTCTTTCAAATTGTAAAGTTTGTTAATCAAAAATTTGTAAGTTTTACAAAATCTCTTTCTCTCTCTCTATATATATATATACAGATAGAGAGAGAGAGAGAATAATATCCGTTTGTGTGTTTGTTCTCGTTATTGATTTAAGATCAAGTATGATAAATTTTTTGCCCCATTTAATCGGCTAAAACTGAACATAGGTGAAATATTGGATGGAACTTGAGCTTCTACGACTATTTTATTAGAAAGACGAAATTCATTAAAAACTGCGCGCCATTGTTGATGTAATGAGAAGAAATTAGTTTATTTTTCTATCGAAATTTTTATGTGAGTTTCACATCGCATCAGACTGAAAAACGTATGAATCGTATTTTTTGCCTCGTTTAGAGAAGGGTTATAGCGGTATCGTTCTCCCTATTCTTAGGCACATTACTCTCAATCAAACTGGCATCGGGTACTTTTGCTATAAAAATCAAAACGTAGATGCATTTCTTTAAAGGAAGAGAATATTTGCTTTTGTACTCTGGCAACAAGTGCAATGAGGTACACGTAATATGAATCGCAGTGATCATTTACGATTGATGTTATCATACAGTCATCTTTATTTTATAATATTTACACCATACAATCGCTGAGAGTGGCAAAGAAAACATCGAAAACATTACCAGAAATTTTACTCTAGGGATCTGCATGACAGGACCACTAAAAAATGAACGACGGACAATAAACAGAGCAAGCCCGAAAATACGTTATAATACACACTGCTATCAGCAAAGGAAACATTAACACGTCACACAATACATCATTTCTAACTGACATGAACCCGTAGGGTTATCCCATCAAAGTAATGTCCGTTATAGATCCACTGTCTCTGACCAAAGCCGCCGTTCATAATTTATTCACACAGAACCTCAGCGGAATGTGCATTTGGAAATGACAAACGGTGCATCTATGTCGTATACGTGTACAATTAATTCATATATACAATCCTACAATACTTGCATGAAATGCATGGCAGCGCCTCTCGGTAGAAAGTGAAATTCTCGCATTGTTGCCACTCATTCAGAAGGAAAATACGTTAAGTCAAAAGGAAATATAAATTTCATTAGCAGTGTGCTGAAAATGGTTACGTTAGGCACAAAGATGAGAATCAATTTCAAGTTGCGGGGAATCCAAAACTTCATTTGGTGCAGTTGTTGGGAATATCGGATGTAAAAGTTCTTCCAGAATAGTTGAAAGTTAAGATCTTTAACGCGAAATGCATACTTCAAGAACTACTTCTCTTTAGATACAAAATAATAGCGCTTTAGGAATAATAAATTGTGGCAGGTTCTTTTATATATGGAATGTTATGTTCAGGGATTATTTTAGACTTTTACATAATTTAAGCTAAATCTTTCTGAAGGTAAATTGCTCTTACAGAGCGTAGCTTCCTGATAGAAGATTAAACATAGCTTAGCATGGCAGTCATGCATTACTTTGAAGAGGAATGCTCAGATTCTTTGGTGGTTTTCTAACCAAATTCTTTGCAAAAATTGCAGTTTTCTGTCAAAGAATCTGCTAAACTCTAGAATATTTGGAAGAATCAGCTGCAATAGAATGTGAGATGAATAAATCTAGGATTTTTTGGATAGAACATCTTCTGCAAAAATAAATAAATAAAGCTAGGTACTAGAATATTTGATAGAATGAACTGCTGGAATACAGTATACATTACTGTCTGATGAATAGTCAATAACGTATTATTAATAACGTATTAATAACGTATTTAATAACGTATTTCTTTTAAATGCGTATGAAATTCTCCTGGAAGCTATTCTTTAGATTTATTTCTGTTGATTTGCCCTTTGAACTATTTAACCCTTTCCAAAGCGTTTTTATTCTTTTGAAAGAGCTGTCATTTGTTTGTTTGTCATTTGGAATAGGAAAACAGGGATATACTGACTGTCTAAAGACAAATCTACTTCAGTTTAAAGTGCTTCTTAACTACGTAACTTATAAATCGTACTCTTAAATTACTGCTTCTAAATTAGAAATGTATAAATAAAAGTACTCGTATATATCTAAACTAAACAGGTATTTACGTTACAATTACTTTTATTTTCTAACTGGGTAAAGAATTTTACCATTTTTGATGAAATACTTCATTGACACTATACGTTTGCATATTACAGAGCGAACGCTAAAGAAAGAAAGTGCACTTTTTCCAATTGTTTGTAGTAACGTAGTAATGTTTGAGTTAAAAGAAAAACGTCCTGTTATGACTCTGAGTTATGATAAACTATTTTAGAAGATTGTCTTCTGATATATGTGTAAAAAATATGTTTGTGTGTATATATATATATATATATGCATTAATCAATAAATCTTCAGTAATTTGATATGCATATCTATATCTGTATATATTATAGAAAAAGAAAAAGAAATTTAGAACCTAATTCTCAAAGATATGAAGAAATAAATTCAAAACTAATAAAACTCCAAAATTTCAAACTGTTTTCAAACCAGAGTAATTTCTTAAAACAATAGAAAAATACAAAATTACAAAAGTGGGAAAAGGAATTAGTCAAAATCTGTGAGTGAATTCCTCTTTCTAATTTTGAGTTTTTTTTTTTTTTTTTTATTTTTGTATTTTGTGTTTTACTGGTTTTGAATTTATTTCTCCGTGTCTTTGTGAATTAGTTTCTAAGTTTCTTACTTTTTTGGTCTATAATTGATTAATTTAACAGCAGCACATTTTGCGAAAATTACGTTGTGACATTTTTGTTTTAAAAAAATTTTGTGATTTTGTTATATCTATATCTTTCTCTCTTTATGAACATATGCTACCATGAAAGACCGAAATTGGAGAATGTCGACTTTCACCGGAGAATATCAACATTCACCAAATACGTCGGTGAAAGATCGAATATTTCACTACATTCTTGTATATTCGGATCCTCACCGGTGTATGTCGAGAATCACAGATATGCTCTGGTCGAAAAGAGAGGTCATAAAGTGCCATAATAGTTTAAGTTGTTGCAATAAATAAGATTTGAATCACATAATTTAGTAAGTTTTTTATTACTGTTATTTTATTTTCTTATTTAGTATAATTAAGTAATATCTCATTACTGTATAATTAAGTAAGTTTTTAACTTCTATTATTTTCCTTTCTCATTTTGAATGTATTGTGTGTTTTAGGTTCTCATGTTCTTAAGTTCTTATTTCAAGTGTCAAATGCGTTTATTCGCGACTGATTTACGGAGAAGAAAATATAATATTGTTATATGTTCAACATTCACCATTAGTACATGGTGAATGTCGACATTGACCGGTGTAAGTCAGAAATAAGAGTATTTGGAAAATATTTCGGACATACGCCAAGAGACTATGTAAATGTTGACATTCACCGGTGAAAGTCGACATTGTCCAGATTTCGGTGTTTCACCGTAACATATGTTTATAAAGAAAGAAAGAAATTTAGTACTAATTTTTCACAAAAACCAAAAAAAAAAAAAAAAAAAAAAAAAAAAAAAAAAAAAAAAAAAAAAAAACCTGAAATTAAAATGAATAAATTAAAAAAAAATCCTACATATGTAGAAGAATTAGAATTTTGTGATTGTTAAAAAAAATTAAAATAAACCATCACAAGAAAAACAAAATAACGTAAAAAAGAACATGAAAAAAGAGGAATTCAATCAATTCCAACATAATGTCGTCAGAAGGAAGCTACAAAGTGTTTTGTATGTTTATATTATTCATTCAAACTAGAAATAAGTGAATATTCTATCTTCTAGGACCAGGTTACAATTAAACAATTAATGTAAAATAGTAGAACCAGGATCGGGCAAAGTAATCAGAAATAAAATATTTTTTTTTATCCTTAAGCTAAATTTAAATACAGATATCGAATCAGTAAATGATATAACGAAAATCAATTGCTCTGAGACCGGGATTCGTCAAGGGCATGGCCGAAATCAACAACACTTCAACTTCAATACATTATCAAAACCTAAAAACGTTTCGCTAATTTATGGGTGATTTCAAAACAGTTTTCTATATGAAATTAATAATTAAATTTTCCTTGATAACAGTCACAAACACATCCTCTACGCTTAAGATTTCGATATAGGTTAGAATATAAATATAATAAATAAAGTAAAACTACTTGCTATATACATAGGCTTAACACTTGTAAAATTAGAACATAAAAGACATGGAAATACAGAAAAATAAAATAATTCTAACCAAAGCTAATCTAAAATAAATCATATCTATGTATCTATCTATCTGTCTGTATATATCTTTTCAAATTATTATTACTATTTTAGTTGACTTTTTAGTTCTTTTTGTTATTATTCTTGTTATTAATAGATGTAATTGTTGTTAATTATATTAATTGCTTGAAATTATATCAATTGTTATTAAGAATTATTTATTGCTCGTAAAAAGAATATTAAAATTAAGGAATGTCAGAGTTCCAAATGACTACATTTATTAAATTCTTTATTGCATTTACATAATTTTTAAAAATTATTACTTATGAATTTCAATTTTTGGTCTTTGTGAAAATTGGTTCTAAATTTCTTACTTTATATAATATATATATATATATATATATATATATATCAAGACTTACTTTATATATATATTCTTTTTTATTACTTTATATTCAATAGCAAAATAACTTTTCAACTGCCGCAAGCACTTAGAATAGAAGAAAGGTTTCAAATCCTAGGCTA